GCAAATTGCCGTAGGCAGATACGATAGAACATTACATTCGAGTTCATTCAATTTTTGATGAGAACGTACGAGAGACGCGTGTACGAAGCTTGTCACTATGAGGGATAGGATCCTTTCCATTAATCAATGTAGCTGATAGGTGTCCCGCTAATTTTTATGAAAAATCTCAACCGTATGCAACGCGACTCGTCGGTGATTGATACGCTTCGTCGTGTGAGACATAATGAACAATATGAACGATTAATAACCGAACTTTTTCTAACTCGAATCATAGGTGACAAATTTCACCCATTGCTGCTCACGGTAGAAATATTTCCATTTCTGACTACTATATATATAGAATTCAGAAATGTTAGAAAAATTCGCCAAAAATACTTAATCACTGGCACTGATAAAACGTACTATTTTATAGTTCCAACTTTCTATCATATCTCTTACTTTTAACCGAGAAAGCAGAATGATACGCTCACGCATGTAAAATTCACGTGAATGACACAAGTAGGGATTGTAGAAGCCGATTCAAAAGTGAAGTGAAAGAAATCTGTGCGATAGCCTCCGAGAAAATAGACGACTAAACTAACGCCAAATGTCTTTGATAAGTTTCATTTCATTTTATTTTATACCACCAGCCATTTCCCTTTTATTCAGATACCAAACAGAGGTCATCAATGGCCGCATATTTATAACATTCCTACGCGATATGATAATAGAGAACATTATATGAAAATAATTTGCAAAAACAGAGTTACAGCGAGATAAACACGGCTCGTACGTAATTATTAATAAAGCAACTTTTCCTTAAATTTTTCAAAAATAAAAAAGCTTGTATATAATATATAATTAGATGGTAGCATGTAAAATGTCCGTTTTAAAGAAAAATGCAGCTTTCTCGTAAAATTAATATCTAGGCTTTCTTCTCTCGCGTGTCTTCTTTGTTTAGATTTATCTTTTGTTAGACATAATTATTTCCATGTGCCATGGTAGTACGCGTACGAAATTCGAGTCATTTTTTTCTCGTGAGTTTCAACCGATTCTGCAGCTGAGATATTTATTATTTTTATGAAGAATGTCGCAAGATTTTAGATAATAGTAGATAAACATTGAGTGAACAATCGTATAGATAGATAAACACCGAGTCAATAACGACAGAAACGTGCGTTAACTCCATTAAAATAATATTTCATACGACACATTCTTTGGTTAAATGCAATACAAGTACATTTTACATCGCAGATTTCAACTTCAATTCGTTAGGCTGTACAAATTCAATATTTAAACAAAGAGAACTGTCTTGTACATGATAAATAAATCGCTGCACTTTGAAATTTGCCAGAAGTGTATAAAAGCACGAAGCTTAAATATTTGTATTGATATAGTTCGATATATCGCAACCTGTAATTTTCTTCAACTTCGCACGAGCCTCTCCTCGTTGATCACCCTGTAGAAATATACTCGCATCGCACTGCCGCTAATGACGATTAAGCAGGTCGTCATTGAGGCCCGTTTAGAACAAGGCAAATAAACTTGAGACTCGCCGTGGCCGATGACGCAGTGAATTTTCGACGCGGTATCTCGCGTTTCATATCGTTACGCTCTGTGCAATAACCGTTCTTCAAAACGGTACGCTTCAACAACAACAATAACCGGGAGTAAGTGATTCTTGCGCGCTGGAAGAGCCAACGTGGAATAAAAATTCACTAACTGGCTGTAAAGACCGACGTGATTTAATGTCAGCAGCTGCTACGCAAATCCTTTTGTCTGTTTTTGACATTGTTGAAACGAGCCACCGTTCCGGTGTAACAAGCTTTCTTTCGATTCAATTTACGAGTCTCTCGAGATTTCCTTCGTTCTATTGCAAGACTTGCAAACAGACCTTCGGAAGAATGAAAGTTAACTAGA